GGAAGCCCCCCGCCGCCGGCTCGCCTCGCCGAGAACGCTGGCGCTGCGCCCACCAGGCACCTCCTCCCCTTACCCCTCTCTCCCGTGGGTGCTCGGGGAGCTTGGGGAGGCAGCAGTGAGTCGAGAGGAGAAGAGTTCACGCTCTGCAGGATTAGGCTGACCTGAGGGATTTATGAGGCTGTGGAAATACATCCCTTACAGAAATGGTTTGGAGTGGTGACCGTGCACTTGGGGTCACCCGTAGCCCAGTGGCAGCACGATCGCTGGCAAGTGTTGCGTCTCCCTTTTCCTCTGGGAAAAACGCTTTGATCGACACGGAGGGCTTGGGGGAGTTGTGAAAGAGCATTTCTGCTGTCCTGGAGGGCTCTTCTTGGGGTAGCTGCTGTGCCCAGAGGCTGGGGGGTGCCGGCAGCCCTGTCCCTCACCGTCATCTCGCAGGAGCTTTCTCTCTGCCGCCGCAGACAGACGGCAGCTCTCGGAGGCGAGGCAGTGTCGAGCTCCCGCAGAATGTACGCAGGGCCAGCGAGGCGTAAAGACATCCAGGGAAACCTCATTCCTGGCACTCTCCTAAACAGAGCTGCCACGAGCTCTTCCTGGCAGCTTTCCCCGGACCCCTTCTCATTCCTCTAGCAAACAGGCTACTCCATGGATTAATAACACAAAGCAGCTCTCTGCTTGTTCCTCCCAATTGCTTTTGAACCGGCTTATCAAATCTGTTTGAACTTGGTTGGAGAGAAGCTTGAAAATTCTCACAGTTCTCCCCCAAACTAGACATATCCTGGAAGAGAAATGCTCTTGCCTTGCGGGCTGCGGTGAGGCGTGCTGTCAAAGGAGCTGCTGCTTTGGCTTTTTGTGGCTTCTTTACACTTAAATTGGGCTCCTGGAGGTACAGTGAAGGAAAGCTCTCCTCCAATATTAACTTCCCAGTTAAAGCAGGAAGACTGACGCTTCCTTTTCCTTCCAGATCGACGGCAGTGGTGTGCGATTATTGTCCTCTTTGCCATCTTGCTGGTGGTGCTCATCCTGTTTTTCATCCTGTGATGGACTGAACTTCCCTGGACACCCCTCCCCGCCCCGTCTCCTGCACAAGCACGGGGGAAATAAAACTCTCACCGTTTCCGTCCGCCTACAGAGATCCTCGGCAAGAAAAGCTGCGCCCGGCTCTCACCATTCTCCTCAGAGGGTCACAGCTCGGCTCTGCCGACATCTCACCTGGAGAGGGGGTGGAGGATTGGAGCTGCCTCCTAACCCCGGCGCAGAGCAATCCGGACCTGGACTCCAGGTCTGGACTGGAGGAGAGGGACTTGACCCTCGTGCAGGTAGGAGCCCGTTGCAGCCGTCCGGAGCTGCCTGCAGTCGGACGTGGACGGAGAGCAGCGAGCCCTGGGGAGGACGGGACGGGGAGGGGATTAATTAATTCACCGAGCATTAACAAACCGTGTCACTAGCCCCACGGGTGTTTGCCAGCCAAAAGCGTCACCGCAGTGGTGTGAAACCCCGTGCGCCCATGGCCAGGGAGGGGAGCCCCAGCCAAATTTCCCTCACACCCCGCGCTGCCTTCCTCCCATGCGCCGGCTCCGTGCCACCGACTTACCTCCCAGGCAGCAGCGGAGCGTTCGCATCCACCAACCCCTTGGCAGAAGCTCACACAGATGAGCCGTCGGGTGTAGTGACCTGCCATCGGCCTGATTAGAAACCCCAGACCTTTAAACTTGGGGTGATGCACGCTGAAAGTTGGCAAACAGTCGATGGCTGGAGAACGAGTTTCTTAAAGCTTTCAAAATTGCCTCTTTCGTTATACAAGCCTCTAAAAAAAGCTCATTGACTGACGCTTTCTTTGCCCTTGTATAACTGCTTCTGTTTAACAGCTGCTTCCCTTTGGCAAATGATTTGTCAGGTCTAAAATAACTTATTTTTTTTAAGGAAGAAAAAAACCCCAACCCTTTAAAGATTTTTTTTGATGACCGTTCAAGCCACGTTCTCTCTGTGTGTGCACGATGCGTTACCAGAGGAGCGGAGCTCAGTTGTGTATTTTAAGTGCGTATGAACTTGTAAATAGGATGTCTTCATTTTCCCCAACCGCTATTTTTTGGACACCTTCATTGTAAGCAAGCAAAAGGCAGGAGATTCAGCGCTTGGTCATGTTTCTGTATTACTTCCCAGTCCTTTTGAGTTGTCACTCGAGTTGCCACGGCAGCACTGGACAGCCTGCTTGTGTCCCTTGGGCAGTGAATTAGGAGTTAGCGGGGTGGTCGATACCAAAACTCATCCCTGGGGAGAAATGCAGGCGCGGGGCGGCGGGTATTGTGCTACAAACACCCGTTTTGCAGGGTGTGGGGTGACTCTTGAGGGAAGCAAACCCAATTTCTTCCTAAAGCCTGCTCCTGGATTTGAGTTGCAAACACCAAGAGACCTGGGCCGGGCTGGCTCGCACCTCCCGTCTGGGTCTCCGGTGGGGCTGAGGGAGGAAGTTAACTGGTGCTGATGCTAAAACTTCTGCTGAAATTGTGTATCAGCCCCCACCTCCCCGCAAAATCATCTTCCCTGAGCAGCAAACTCGCCACCAGACAGCTTTACCTCCAGGATGCTTAGCCCAGACCAAACACTCCTCCCCACCCAGGTCCTTTCAAGCGAATCTGCGACCCGCCCCGCTGCCCTCCCCACACAGGCGGGGAGCTGGTGGCACCGTGCCTTTGAAGCCAGGTGATGGACAGGGAGGGAAAAAAAAAAAAGATATATATATATATAAAAATAAAATAAAAACCGAGGGATCAAGCCCGAGCTGCCCTGCCGCACGCCTGGGTGGATGCTCTCGTCACTAACGCACACGTGCCCTCCTGCGCCAACCCCTGCTCGTTATTTCCACGGTTGCTCTTCATCCTCGCGGAGCGCGTCGCTTCTCTTCGTTAACGCCACGAGAAGCGCGCGGCGTCTCCTTTCTGTGGCTCTCGCTG